CAACTGAATGTCATAACTAATTGGTAATAGCATCCAAAGTTATCAATTAAGGAGAAAATTTGGTAGAACCAACCTCGGTTTGGGATCAGCAGATATCAGTGGTGGAGATCGCTCTGCCCCTGAACGAGCGCATTCACCCTTTAACTCATCACGACGTTCACCATTCATCTCGCTTTTTTCGGTAGAATCCTGCTGGTCGCAGCTTCGTTTCGGTTCACCTTTTACCTCTTCATCAACACTCTTTGGGATGCAAATTTTCTGCTCCACTTTTTCGACATCTCTTTCCTCAAGTTTTATCTCACGATCAGTTTGCAACGTTTTTGTATCGTTTATTGCAATTTTGGTTTCGGTATTCTTCGCTTTTTCTGAGTGATTTTCGGTTTGTTTTGCCTCTTTTTTGCCACTTGAAAGTTTGACGCTCTTGTCACTTTCTTGAATTGTTTCCAATGGAGATTGCGCTTTTACGACGACCTCCTCTTTAGTGCTTCTCATCTTGCTAGCTTTCGTACGATTCACTCTCTGACCATCACCATTTGTAGTCAATTCACGTCCAGTGTTTACCAGATTCGTTGGCTTTTTGATAGTTTTCCGTTCAGATTCCGGTGTTTTCTTCGCATAACGATTGTTGGTGACCAATTGTATCTGTGGTGGTGGAAATGCCCACAGAGGATATTCGGGAGCAAATGGCACAGGAGCCATTAACGGATAACGAGGGACAAACGGCATTTGTGGTGCTGGAATTGCGACGAGAACATGATAGTTGGTTGGATGTGGTGGTGCTTGAACGTATGGTCTGGGCATGGGTGGTAATTCGATTGGTTCAGCGGTCTTCACTGGCGCAGTATTAACCTTTGCGAATGTATCATGCAATAGCTTGACTTTTTGCTCATACGCTTCTTTCGCAACTACATCACCATCTATGAAAAGTACAACTTGAAAGTGGTTACGATGTTTTAATGAGTGGCATTACTATTTTTATTACTGCTACTCGTTATTAATCGTGTGTTTATCACTACCATCAACGCAAGAAGTGCTTAGCGATGAAAACGTTGGTGATGATAACATGAATGTTTCCGTGAATGAAAACTTCTTTGTGAAACTATTTTGTAATCACCTAATGATGGCAGCGAGTGGCACATGGCAAAGATTCATCCTAAACAGATTACAAGAAGAGGAAAAACTTTCGGCAAGCTG